TGTGAAGAAAGCTGAGCACTGAAAAACTGGTATTGGAGAAGACTCTTGAGAGTCCCTTGGACTGCAAGGAGATCCAACCAGTCCATCCTAAAGGAGATCAGTCCTGGGTGTTCATTGGAAGGACTGATGCTGAAGTTGAAACTCCAATACTTTGGCCACCTGATGAGAAGAGCTGACTCATTGGAAAAGACCCTGATGCCAGGAAGGATTGAGGGCAGGAGAAGAAGGGGAACGACAGAGGATGAGATGGTTGGATGGCATCACTGACACAATGGACATGGGTTTGGGTAGACTCCGGGAGTTGGTGATGGACAGGGAGGCCTGGTGTTCTGCGGTTCATGGGGTTGCAAGGAGTCAGACACAACTGAGCAACTGAACTGAACTGACTGAATAATAACAACAGTAAAAATACAACAATAATGATGACTGGCTCTCAATTGATTGAGCTCTTTTATTTGCTAACCATAATGCTAAGAGTTTCAGGTGAATTGTTTTACTTAATTCTCACAAAACTCCATTACTCCATAAACTCCATTTTATTTGTTTATTAAGAATATTTATCGAATGTTTGCTATGTGCTAGAGATATGGTGATAAACAAAATTGTCATGGTCCCTATTCTTGAAGAGCTTATGGTATAGTAGGAAAAACAGACATTAAATGAATGAAAATAAATATTTAATGACACATAATAAATGACATAGAAGGTGTGATAGAATAATAGGGGGGTGTATTTCAGATAGAAGGGCCTGGGAAGGTCTCTCTTGGAATATGACATAGGTAAACTGACACCTAAAAATAAGGAAGACCCCAGCACGCAGAGGAAGGGCCTTGAGGCAGAAGTAAATAGCTCTATTAACATAGATCATTCTTTCCTCTAATAAGGGAGCTAAAAGAAGATCTCAGGCTAAATAAAGATAGTGGAGGAAGAATGATGCTAGTTGAGGGTGGGATGGACCAGACTGTCTAAAGCCATGTATACTCAACTTTTATCCTGAGTGCATTAGGAAGTCTTGAAGGATTTTAAGCAGACAAGTGAAGGATCTGATTTATGTTAAAAACAATACCTGGGCTATGCCATGGAGAATGGACTGGAGGGAGCCAAGAGCAGATACTGGGGAGAATTGCTCTGAGTTTATTGCAGCATTCAGGTTGAGAGGGTGATGGTTGTACGTCGGATGGTGGTTGCAGATTTGGAGAAAAGTGGAGAGGTCCACTGGTTGGAGGTTGAGTCCAAAGGGCCTGGTTATAGAGAAGCTGAGTTCAGTTCAGTTCAGTCGCTCAGTCGTCTTCTACCCTTTGCGACCCCGTGGACTGAAGCCAGTGATAACTTAGGTCTTTCATTTGTATAACAGGCCTGATCCACAGCTAGCCTCCTTTTTCAGTGTAGGAGGCCAAAGCTGGAAGAGGTTAGGTAACATGTTCCAGGAGGTACATCTAGTAAATGATGTATTATGATAAGAGCATGGGGTCAACTCCAGAGAAAATACACTTAACCAGCACACTGTATTCCCTCCCAGCGAGTCACAGTCCTGCTGCTTTCTAAAAGGAGAGAACTGGTTGTCTTCTGAATTATAATCTCTCTGCCAACCATGAGTCCATTTGCTTAGTTACCTAAGAGAAAGTCAATAACTAGACTCATTTTTTTTTTAACCCTTTCCCCTGGTAACCGTAATTCATTCTTTAAGTCTATGAATCTGTTTCTGCTTTGTAAATACGTTCATTTGTATCAATTTTTAAAAAGATCTGCATATCACTTAGTATAATAATCTCCAGGCCCACCCATGTTGCTGCAAATGGCATTATTTAGTTCTTTTTGATGGCTGAGTAATATTCCATTGTATAAGTGTACCACACCTTCATTATCTATTCTTCTGTTGATGGACACTTAGGTTGCTTCCGTGTCTTGGTTATTGTAAATTGTGCTGCAATGAATGTTGGAGTGCATATATTCTTTTGAACCATGTTTTTCTTCAGATATATGCCCAATAGTGGAATTGCTGAATCTCATGGTAGCTCTATTTTTAGTTTTTTAAAGGAAACTGCTTACTCCGTTGTGGCTGTATGAATTTATATTCCCACCAACAGTGTAGGAGGGTTCCCTTTTCTCCACATCCTCTCCAGTATTTATTGTTTGCAGATTTCTTTGGCTATTCAGGGTCTTTTGTGTCTTCATACAAATTTTAAGATTTTTTTTTGTTCTAGTTCTGTGAAAAAATGACATTGGTAATTTGACAGAGATTTCATTGAATCTGTAGATTTCCCTGGGTAATATAGTCATTTTGACAATGTTGATTCATCCGATCCAAGAACACAGTATATGTTTCCATCTGCCTGTGTGGTCTTTGGTTTCTTTCATCAGTGTATTATAGTTTTTGAAGTACAGGTTTTTGTTTCTAGAAGTAGGTTTATTCCTAAGTATTTTATTCTTTTTGATGCTGTGGTAGATGGGATTATTTCTTGAATTTATTTTTCTGATCTTTTGTTGTTGATTTTGTTGATTTCTCTGCACTAATATTATATCTTGCAACTTTACCAAATTCATTGATGAGCTCTAGTAGTTTTCTGGTTGTATCTTTAGAATATTCTATGTGTAGTATCATGTCATCTGCAAACAGTGATAATTTTACTTTTCCAATTTGGATTCCTTTTCTTTTCTTTTCTTCTCTGATTGCCATGGCTAGTTCTTCCAAGACTATTTTTTTTTCCACCCATGTTGCTGCAAATGGCATTATTTAGTTCTTTTTGATGGCTGAGTAATATTCCATTGTATAAGTGTACCACACCTTCATTATCTATTCTTCTGTTGATGGACACTTAGGTTGTTTCTGTGTCTTGGTTCTTGTAAATTGTGCTGCAATGAATGTTGGAGTGCATATATTCTTTTGAACCATGTTTTTCTTCAGATATATGCCCAATAGTGGAATTGCTGAATCTCATGGTAGCTCTATTTTTAGTTTTTTAAAGGAAACTGCTTACTCCGTTGTGGCTGTATGAATTTATATTCCCACCAACAGTGTAGGAGGGTTCCCTTTTCTCCACATCCTCTCCAGTATTTATTGTTTGCAGATTTCTTTGGCTATTCAGGGTCTTTTGTGTCTTCATACAAATTTTAAGATTTTTTTTTGTTCTAGTTCTGTGAAAAAATGACATTGGTAATTTGACAGAGATTTCATTGAATCTGTAGATTTCCCTGGGTAATATAGTCATTTTGACAATGTTGATTCATCCGATCCAAGAACACAGTATATGTTTCCATCTGCCTGTGTGGTCTTTGGTTTCTTTCATCAGTGTATTATAGTTTTTGAAGTACAGGTTTTTGTTTCTAGAAGTAGGTTTATTCCTAAGTATTTTATTCTTTTTGATGCTGTGGTAGATGGGATTATTTCTTGAATTTATTTTTCTGATCTTTTGTTGTTGATTTTGTTGATTTCTCTGCACTAATATTATATCTTGCAACTTTACCAAATTCATTGATGAGCTCTAGTAGTTTTCTGGTTGTATCTTTAGAATATTCTATGTGTAGTATCATGTCATCTGCAAACAGTGATAATTTTACTTTTCCAATTTGGATTCCTTTTCTTTTCTTTTCTTCTCTGATTGCCATGGCTAGTTCTTCCAAGACTATTTTTTTTTCCCATTGATTTTTATTAGTTGGAGGCTATTTTGAATAAAAGTGGCCAGAGTGGACATCCTTGTCTTATTCTTGATCTTAGAAGAAATGCTTTCAGCTTAACTGTTGAGTATGATGTTAGTTGCAGGTACGTCACATGGTAAGTCGCTTCAGTCATGTCCAACTCTGTGCGACCCCATGGACAGCAGTCCACTGGGCTCCTCTGTCCACAGGATTCTCTAGGCAAGAATACTGGAGTGGGTTGCCATTTCCTTCTCCAAGGCTTGTCATATATAGCCTTTATTATGTTAGGGTAGTTTCCCTCTGTGACCACTTTATGGAGAGTTTTTTTTTTTCAGTTTTATTTATTTTTAAAAATTTATTTATTTTAATTGAGGCTAATTATGTTACAATATTGTAGTGGTTTTTGCCATACATTAACATGAATCAGCCATGGGTGTACATGTGTTCCCCATACTGAACCCCCCTCCCACCACCCTCCCCAAGAGTTTTTTTAAAAATCATAAAAGGTTATTGAATTTTGCCAAAAGCTTATTCTATATCTATTGAGATGATCATATAATTTTTATCCTTCAATTTGTTGATGTAGTGTATCACACTGACTGATGTACAGATATTGAAAATCCTTGCATTCCTGCGATAAATCCCACTTGCTCATGGTGTATGATCCTTTCAATGTATTGTTGAATTCAGATTGGTAGTATCTTGTTGAGAATTTTTGCAGGCGTATTATCTGATGTATATTTTGGCCTGGAGCCGATTAGAAAATGTTATTTGGGTCACATTCTGGAAATGACGAGATTCCTTAAGTGTTTGACCTGGGTAAGCAGATTCAAGTCTGATAATCCTAGATATTCAAATTATGTGGTCAGTCGGAAGCCAAGCTCTGTTCTTTCTCGTGGGCTCAGGAGCAGATATGTAATTCCGAAATTCCTTTGAAGTCTTTCAGAAACTTACATGACGTTGTGATGGGCAGTTGTCCTGGAATAAATGGGCTTTCTCTAATAGGAAAAAGGGAAAAATAAAGAAGGTCAACAGAAACCAGAGTGTCAGGCCATTCCTCGTGGTTATAGAGGTGTCTGGAAATCACTATGGGCAGATAGGGATATTCATAGCCTAAGGTAAGATTAAATTAAAAGAAAAATAAGTAGCTTACATCACTTTGCTATACAGCAGATATTGGCATAACATTGCAAATCAACCATACTTCAAATAAAAATAAACAAACAGATGTATATTTTTAAAAAGTAGGTTAAAAACTCAGTTAAGTGTGGTAATCCTAATATTAATACCAGATAACTTCCTGGATGTGTTTTAGGTATGTCCTGAGACTTTCTGTATCCTGTATTTCTGGCATCTGTAAAATGGTCCCTTTACTATTACTATCTTTGCAAAATCTTAGGTGTGAGAAGAGAGGTAAAAATGTAAGAACAGCTGGAAATTATGGGCTTACCTCTTGGGGATGATGAACTTCAGAATAAATTGTGTTGGAGTCATTGTTTTTCACAGGTTTTGAGATTTCTGCTTCCTGTAGAACACAATTATATTGATTTGGCTTACATAAAGAGATATGTACTCATGTATACACATATTCACATAAAGAGATATAAACTCATGCAAAGAGATATATTCTTGGGAAAGGCAGTGTGACAAAAGAGGGATGATGTCAAAACTCTTCCGGAGGAAGGCTATGGAGTGTTTAGCAAGAGAAACTGGAAACCAAGCACCACTAGCTCTCAGATTTGTGAAGGATTTCCTTCACCTTTCCTGAGCCCCATACTGAAACACAGCACGCCAGCAAACCAGTGGCTCATGAACCCGAGAAAGACAGAAGGGGGACCTTGTTGGCAGGTGGTGTGAAGGAAGGAAAGCATTCTTGTCCTGCATCCAACTCTACTCTCTTTCCTCCATTTTTAAGAACTAACCTACAGGGACTTCCCTTGTGACTCACCAGTTAAGAATCTGCCTGTCAAGGGACGTGAGTTTGATCTCTGGTTTAGGAGGATCCCACCTGCCATGGGGCAACTAAGCTCATGTGCCACAACTACTGAAGTCTGTGCACCCTAGAGCCCATGCTCTGTAAGAAGAGGATTCACTGCAAAATGAGAAGCCCACACACTGCAACTAGAGAGAGTAACCCCTGCTCACTGCAACTAGAGAAATACTGTGAGCAGCAACAAATACCCAGTGCAGTCAGAAAAAAAAGAACTAACCTACACTGCCACATGGTTATTGTAGTACATCTTCGGTCTCAGATCTTTACTACCTATAACTGGAGGTATTGCCTGCTCTATTTTGCCCCTGTGATTCTAATAGCCTGGCCATCACATCATTGGGGTCTCCTTGAACATGCAGAACTGTTAGAATAGGAATACCTTGTCTTAAGAATGACTCTGCTTGGAATAAAAAGCCTGATGATAACAGAAGTCCCCCGTGCTCATAGTTTTTGGCATTTTAAATGAATTAGGGTATATCTAGGGTGTTATTAAAACCTCTGAAACTCTCCAAAGTACCATGTTTTGCTAAAGAAAAAGTTAACAAATTTGCTGGAGATTAGATTCTTGGTTTGTTGCGAGTGATTCATCTTGTCATCAAGAGAAAATTGGAAAGGCAATTGAAATATCTGAGGTGAGAGCATCTCTTGTTTGCTATCTTTAAAGAGCCTACTTTGCAAACATCTGTAAAGGGCTTTGTGAGGGGAGATTGGCTGTGGAATCCAACATTTCTAGCTAGACTACTGCTTCCATCATTGAAGAACGCTGGCTCTCCTGGCTTATTTTTCATTAGATGTGGAAACTGGTCTCCCAGGATGTGTAGTGTTATTTAGAAATGTACCCTCTGCCGGTGCTTTATTTTGGGGCTGATGAAGAACTACTGATGCATGATGGGGAGTTCCTGGTGCCTGACCAAGGCCATCCTGTTATGTTGCTAGAGGGGAGGGGACGATTGAGGGCTGCTCATGCCTTTAGTGTCTTTCACAGTTGAGGGATTGCCAATTCTTGTCACTCTTTCTCTCTTAAGAGACTCTTCTGAGCCCTGCTATTTCCCCTACAAAAGGATGAAAAGCCCACTGATACAGAATTGTGTCCTTTGGGAACTCTCAAACTTAACAACTTTATCCATCCAGCAGATATTTACTGGGCTTCATGCTAAGACACAGGGGAAGAGAGAGGAAGACATAATTTTCACTTCCAGGCAGCCTGTAAGTAAGCTGAAGGGACATGACTTACAGATGCATTACATAGTTAGATTAAGCAATGTAAAGCAAGGTATGACTGACTAAACACTCCACTGGCATGAGAGCAAAAGGGTGTAGAAATGTCCCACACATAACTCTTGTTACTGCCTTCACTTCACCTCAGTGGTGTACATCATTTGGATTTAGTCAGATAATTGTGACAAGTTCATTAATAATGACTGTAAAAATAATGACTATGATGGAGTATAAACCTGAAAGTACTCACCCTGTTTGAATGGGTGACCCGAGCATACACAGTGTTCCCTGAAGAGAAGGAAGCGTACTCTAAGTTACTCACAGTTTCTGCTGTTAACACAGGAAGACACAGTCAGTGACTGGAGGACTCTGGTCTGCCCTCCCAGGACCTTATCAACCCCACATCACTCTCTGGCCCCAAAGAGGTAGTTGTCTGAAACATTGCCCTTCCTTAGGGTACATTCATTTCCCCAGTCTTGGGAGTTCAGGGTTGAACCAGAACCTTCTCAGCTATTCGATCTATTTCTGACCTCATCTGGGGGAACGTAGTCTTGAGCTACCCTAAAGCCTCAGAGTCTCTCTGGATTCACAGGAAGGGAAGCTTCTGGGACAAAACAGCACTGGCTCCACAGGAGCTAGAGAATCTCATTGGTGAGCATAATGGAGCCAGATTGTCTTGCATTTATAATACTATCCCACTTCTCGGAGCTCCTTAGAGTGGGTTTGATTATATTAGAGATGAGAAACTGGAGGCTCAGAAAGTTTTACTCCCTTGGTGCAAATTTACACAGGAAATGATCAAATAAGAATTTGAATGCATGCCTTCTGATTCATAGCTCAGTTGGTAAAGAATCCACCTGCAATGCAGGAGACCTGGGTTCGATCCCTGGGTTGGGAAGATCCTTTGGAGAAGGGAATGGCTACCCCAGTCCAGTATTCTGGCCTGGAGAATTCCATGGACTGTACAGTCCATGGGGGTCACAAAGAGTCAGACATGACTGAGCGACTTTCACTTCAAACTCAATACCCAAACTCTGGCTGAACAGAGTGATGGGGTCAGGCAGTCATCTCTGGGCATTTGATGCTCTAGTCCTGTCTTTACACTGCGCCTGCTGTTGATAATGGACAGGCCTCAAGCCCTTTCACTGGCACTTGGTCTCTCCATTGATAGAATGGGGAATGGCCCTAATCCCATCCCAAGAAACTGCCTGAGTGACCAGTTTGCATTCTTGTAAGGGACCCTGTAGGTCCCACAGGGGACAGACTTGCACAATTCCAGGTCTTCTTCCCTTGCACCATCTGGTCCATCTGAATAATGACATTCTGACCTCCTCCTCTCTCGTTATCTAGCCCTCTGATCACCCCACTTCAATTTCCACTTGGCTCTTGCCATCTGTTTAGTGACTGGGAACTGAGTCTGGAAGCTCACCAGGACACTGGGTTTGCTGAGTAGAGAATTGAAAGAAACCTGAAAAATAAAATCAGGGAAATTGAAATCTGTGACTGTAGTGAGATAAGCCTCCCACCCTCTACCCCGTAGGTGTCTCTCTAGAGTAACAGTCCCCAACGCTTTTGGTGCCAGGGGCGGTTGGTGGAGGGGGTAGTTTCAGGATGGTTCTAACACATTATATTTTTTGTGCACTTTATTTCTATTTTGTGGCAATCTCAAGATATACTGCCTTGACTTCAGGTTAGATGTCTCATTCCTATGAGAATCTAATGCCACCCCTGATCTACAGGAGGTGGGGCTTAGGTGATGTGAGCGATGGGGAGGGGCTGGAAATACAGATGAAGCTTCATTTGCTTGCTCACTGCTCACCTCCTGCTATGTGAACTGGTTCCTAAGAGGCCACCGACTGGTACCAGCCTGGGGCCTGGGTGTCAGGGACCCCTGCTCTAGAGGATGTGGTGGGAAAGGGGCCCAGAAGGGAGGGCAGGCAGGCCCCAAGGGTGGGTCCTGCATTTTCTAGTAGGACACTTTCCTTAAGAGATTAGCGCATGTGTATTCACAGCCCAAGTGTTGTCCCAGTGGACTGACTGAGCCAGGTTTGCATCCTCCCCGCCCCCCACCCCCTTTATCTGTCTTCTACAAGACAGAGTCTTGTCTGGGCAGACTCTAAGTCTCTGAAGCCTGGGAGAAGTAACAATAAGAAGAAAGGAAAACCTGCTACTTTTTTCCTCTGAACAAATATTAATATCAATGCAATGAAGAATATACATGTCAAAACAACCACAATGATAATCCATCTGATATCCAAGTATTCATTTTTCCCATTAATAACACCTGAAAAGAAAAAAAAAAAAGAAGTTGCATTTGAGACACATCAAGCGAGGCCCAGAGTGGTATTTTAGAGCCTCCAATGCATCTCTTCTAGACTGTCTTTGGGGGTTGGGTGGGTTCATCTATACCCAGAGGTTCTGGGGGCCTAGGCAGGATTTCTGCGAGTGGGAGCCTCATTTAGGCAGACAGGGCAGGGCGGAGCCTGGTAGAGACAGAGAGAAGAAGCAATCTTGCCCTCCTAAGGACTTTGCTCTTGGGCTCTGGGAGGCTTAGAGAAATGGTTGGTGGAGGGGGAGGGAAAAGGAGGGCGCTCTAGAGGAGGAAGAGACCCAGAGCTCCAGGGGGTGTCTGTCCTCTCACAGCATCACTCAGCCGTCTCCCATGGGGCCACTGTTTTAGGAATCATAAAGGGCATGAGGGACACCCCACACCCCACAACACTCAAGGCCCTCAGAGAGACCTGAGACGGATTTACCTTTACAGACACTTTTGTCAGAGACAGAGGAGGATAAATTGCTGACAGGATTCTCAGCTATGCAAGTGTAGGTCTCTTCACTGAGGCTCTTGGGGTTCCAGGCTACAGAAAGATTTGCTTCACTATGAAATGTATTTCCTGCTACCTCCCACCTGAACGAGACATTATCATTTGGATTCTCCACAGAGCAGGTCAGCTGGATCTCACAGGTACTATTTTCAGACAGTTTGGTGTGATAGGCAACTTGTAAGTTGCTCAGTCGTCCTGTGTGCAGAGAAGAGGCCTGGATGAAGGACAAATGGCTTGGCTCAGCCCTCTGTGAAAAATCTCTATCACCCCCATATTTCCATGTATCCCACCTGACACTGCTGTATACTCTGTAAATAACTCTGCGTGTGCTGCCTGACTGATGGGGTTGAGGCCTGTGGTGACCAAATGGTGAGGGACGTCAGCATGAGACAGAGTAGGCGGTGGAAGAAAAGGAAGGGGGAGACTGGAGTTTCTGCCAGCTAGTCAGGTGATTTTGAGCTGACCACTTTAATTTTTGGAGCTCCAGTTTATTCCTGGGGTCCTTCCTGCCCTTGTTCACTGCCCCTTGTGTAAAGATAATTTGGAGACTATGCGGCCCAGCCTTAGTTCAGAAACCAGAGGAGCAGGTGCATGAGCCCTGTTTCCTCCGTTATCAGAATTTTCCTAGCTGGGATGGAAGATAAAAGCTTAACTTACTTGGAGAACCAAATTTCCCACAACTTTGTTGGGATATTGGTTCTCATTGGATCTGGTGCTGCCTCAAATGATAACAAAGAGATCTTGATGCAGAGTGTCAGCAAGTCAGAAAGGGGTGTGTTGAGAACTAAAGAATTAGGGAAGGAAGGAGTGTAGAAACAGAGAAAGCAAGCAGTTCATTGGAAGGAAGAAGTGCAATATACTTGGGCGTTTGAGAATACACATGATGCAGATACTTCTGAGAGTGGAGACCAGAAAATATTACCTAAGTTTGTGTCAGCAGCTGTGAATCAGTGTGAACATGGAGGTGGTACAGGGAAACCTTCTGACCTGGACTTGGTCCAAAGGTTGAAATAAAGATGACCCAGTAAAAATTGGAATGACTCCAACTATCTCATTAGAAGAGATTAGGCAAAGCATTAAGTTTAGCTAACTGAGTAGGGGTTGTGGAACATACCGTGTTCAAACAGAATTTTCATGTCATGGCAAGAGTGGATTTGGAGTTAGGAAGACCTAGGTTAGAATCACGGCTTTGTCATTTACTGGCTACATGACCATGGACAAATTTTAGTCTCTGCTTGCCCCAATTTCTTCATCTGTAAAACTGGGCAATAATACCTACTTCTTGGAATTATGAGAATTAAATGAGATAGCACATAGCACAGCAATGGCAAATGTTTGTCTTGAATATTTACCTCCTTCAACCAATGTCCATTGCTGACCTCAAAAATCTATATTGATATCTTACTCCACTTGATGAATATATAATTACCCACTTGACATTTCCACCTGAACATAATGTATATCCCCAAGTCAACATGTGCAAAACTATCCTCTAATTGTTCTCCACCCCCCAAGAGTAGAAGCCAAAGTCCTTGTGATGGCTCCCAGAGCCTCAGATGATGTGGCTCCCTATTTCCTTACTGACCTCATTTCCTGTTACTCTCTCTTACTCTGCTCCTTGATGTTTGAGCCTGCCAGACGCAGGAGGGGCCTGTGCTGGATAGCTCTTCCCTTAGATATCTGCGTGGCTCACTCTTTCATCTGCAGCTGGCCTTGGCTCTAATGTCATCTTCTCAATGAGGCCTATTATGACCCCTCCATTTAAAACAGACTGCTGCTTTCTGGCATTTCTGGTGGTCCTTATGCTGTTCTAATCTCTTTTTCCATGAGTTTCTCTCATGGCTTACTTACTGTGTTCTTTGTTCATATATTATGTGTATTTTTATTATTGCCCCCATATCCTCTACCCAGAATGTCAGCTCCATGAGGTCAAGGATCTTTGTTTTGCTCACTGATGTATCTCAAGGGCCTAAAACAGAGTCTCAAACATCATTCATGGCTAACAAATACTGTTGACTCACTGATAAACTTAACATGACTCATATTTTTCTTAACTCTGAATCTTACTCCCAATTAATTGGTATTGGCCCATAAGATCAAATCTTTGCTATTTCTAGCCTAGTACACATAGATTAATTGGTCAATGTTTTAAAAAGCTGATAATTTTTATCTTAAAATTCCTTGGCACAATTGTAAAACATATTGGTGTACCTTACGTTTGTTTTTGTGTATGTGCTTTTGAAGGAGAGGTACTCCAAAATGCCCTGGGGATGTATTGGCATTCAGTCTCAGGAGTGTGGTTGTTGCAGAAATTGTACTTGGTCTTCTAAATAGTCGCAGAAGACACTTGTCTCAACAAGTATAACGGAGCCTGGTACAGGGTCAATGAGTCATAAGATTTCGGTTCTAATCTCAGCTCTGCCACTAACTGCTGTGCAGTGTCATTGAATTGTTTTGTTTCTGGACCTCAGTCTAGCTCCAAATGCCATACTTTTTACCACAAGTCTATAGTGTATGTTTGCAGTCACATAGAATTGAAATATGTACTATTTTTTAGTCCATACAAAATTAAGCCCGATTTTGACTCACTGAAGATCTGCAGGTTATAATCGGTGTACAGAAAGGAGGTTGATGTGGTTATCTGGGCACGGTAATGGCCCGCGTCTGCCATTGTCAGATTGTTGAGCTGCAAGGAGTAGGACTCGATGATATTCAGTCGATCTTTCCGTGTTGGATCAGTCACCTGTATTTTTGCTTCTTTTGGCCATATGAAGATGACAGAGTTTCCCTTGTGAAGCCAGGTGATGGACGAGATATTCTCTTTCACAGGAAAATTCGAGGGGAGAGTTACAGACTCCCGCAGGACCCCGTTCACCACCGGTGGGGTTGAGCTGGCTTCTGAAACTGAGTTCCCTGTGAACACAGAAAGCAAACTGTTGTAACTCTCCCTTCCCTCCCCCTACTTCCCACGCCCTTTCTCCTTGCTGCCAGTCTGTTAGAGCTCACTGATGCTGAAGTCCAAAGATAAGATGAAGAGGAAAAGAGCTGGGAGGAGTGCTGAAGTAGACAGTCACAGAGGCTCCACCAACAAAATGCCTGGCACCCTTGGTTGATGAGTAGTTGGTCCCAGCCAGTCTACCTTCCCACACTAGCTGGTCACACCTGGGCCAGAGCCATACTATCCGACCCCAGGCTCTGAGTTATCTGGGCATGAGATGGAGAGGGACAGCTGCATCCAATCCCTGGCACAGATTTCAGAAACTGCAACTCTTTACTGATGAAATATAATTAAAGCTTTAGTAAATACCTGCTGTGTTCAACATAGTAGGCTTGTGAGATTTAAAGGACTAATAACAGGAATTTACAGCTCTTATACATTATTTCATCTGATGCTGACAACAATTCTGACAGGTAGGATGAATATTATCATATCCATTTACAGAAAAGGATCTGAGGCACAGAGTAGTTAGCTAATTTTCCTAAGGTTACCCAGCTAAAGAATAACAGAGTTGGGATTCAGATCCAACTCCTTTGACAATGTTTTGTGCTCCTTGCATGATACCAAAAGATATCTTTTCTGCTCCCAAAAGATAATTGTCTAGGAGTTGAGAAGATAAAAACTGGTAAGTATAAAATTAATACATATAACTTCAAAGTAACATGTAAAGCTGATAATTTTTATCTTAAAATTCCTTGGCACAATTGTAAAACATATTGGTGTACCTTACGTTTGTTTTTGTGTATGTGCTTTTGAAGGAGAGGTACTCCAAAATGCCCTGGGGATGTATTGGCATTCAGTCTCAGGAGTGTGGTTGTTGCAGAAATTGTACTTGGTCTTCTAAACAGTCGCAGAAGACACTTATCTCAACAAGTATAACGGAGCCTGGTACAGGGTCAATGAGTCATAAGATTTCGGTTCTAATCTCAGCTCTGCCACTAACTGCTGTGCAATGTCATTGAATTGTTTTGTTTCTGGACCTCAGTCTAGCTCCAAATGCCATACTTTTTACCACAAGTCTATAGTGTATGTTTGCAGTCACATAGAATTGAAATATGTACTATTTTTTAGTCCATACAAAATTAAGCCCGATTTTGACTCACTGAAGATCTGCAGGTTATAATCGGTGTACAGAAAGGAGGTTGATGTGGTTATCTGGGCACGGTAATGGCCCGCGTCTGCCATTGTCAGATTGTTGAGCTGCAAGGAGTAGGACTCGATGATATTCAGTCGATCTTTCCGTGTTGGATCAGTCACCTGTATTTTTGCTTCTTTTGGCCATATGAAGATGACAGAGTTTCCCTTGTGAAGCCAGGTGATGGACGAGATATTCTCTTTCACAGGAAAATTCGAGGGGAGAGTTACAGACTCCCGCAGGACCCCGTTCACCACCGGTGGGGTTGAGCTGGCTTCTGAAACTGAGTTCCCTGTGAACACAGAAAGCAAACTGTTGTAACTCTCCCTTCCCTCCCCCTACTTCCCACGCCCTTTCTCCTTGCTGCCAGTCTGTTAGAGCTCACTGATGCTGAAGTCCAAAGATAAGATGAAGAGGAAAAGAGCTGGGAGGAGTGCTGAAGTAGACAGTCACAGAGGCTCCACCAACAAAATGCCTGGCACCCTTGGTTGATGAGTAGTTGGTCCCAGCCAGTCTACCTTCCCACACTAGCTGGTCACACCTGGGCCAGAGCCATACTATCCGACCCCAGGCTCTGAGTTATCTGGGCATGAGATGGAGAGGGACAACTGCATCCAATCCCTGGCACAGATTTCAGAAACTGCAACTCTTTACTGATGAAATACAATTAAAGCTTTAGTAAATACCTGCTGTGTTCAACATAGTAGGCTTGTGAGATTTAAAGGACTAATAACAGGAATTTACAGCTCTTATACATTATTCCATCTGATGCTGACAACAATTCTGACAGGTAGGATGAATATTATCATATCCATTTACAGAAAAGGATCTGAGGCACAGAGTAGTTAGCTAATTTTCCTAAGGTTACCCAGCTAAAGAATAACAGAGTTGGGATTCAGATCCAACTCCTTTGACAATGTTTTGTGCTCCTTGCATGATACCAAAAGATATCTTTTCTGCTCCCAAAAGATAATTGTCTAGGAGTTGAGAAGATAAAAACTGGTAAGTATAAAATTAATACATATAACTTCAAAGTAACATGGAATGGCTACACTCTCATGAGCCGATCTCAGAGCCATTAATGTTTGAGCAAAAAAGGTGAAATGGTTACAATCATTTTTAAAGAAGATTCTTCCTTAACATCTTTTGCCAAATTCCTAGCATTTATCATACCATTTTGTAGCCCTCTGTTCTCTTGTTAACTTAATCATCTTATTTAATAGTTATCTTAATTATCTTTATATCTGAGCACAGAGCCTGATTCAAAGTAGGATCTGGAAATGTTTGAGTGAATCAATGAATAAGTAACCACTACCACTAGGATTCAGCAATATGTGAACTGAGAACTTCCAGGCATTCAAGCTGGATTTAGAAAAGGTAGAAGAACCAGAGATCAAATTGCCAACATCTGCTGGATCACAGAGAAAGCAAGAGAACACCAGAAAAACATCTACTTCTGCTTCATTGACTACGCTAAAGAATTTGGCTGTGTGGATCACAACAAACTGTGGAAAATTCTTAAAGAGATGGGAATATCAGAACACCTTATCTGTCTCCTAGAAAGTTATATGCAAGACAAGATGCAACAGGTAAAACTGGACATAGAATAACAGACTGGACAAAATTGGGGAAGAAATATTTCAAGCCTGTATATTGACACCCTGATTACTTAACTTATATCCAGACTACATCATGTGAAATGCCAGGGTGGAGGAATTACAACCTGGAATGAAGATTGCCCAGAAAAATATCAGCAACCTCAGATATGCAGATGATACCACCCTTATGGCAGAAAGTGAAGAGGAATTAAAGAGCCTCTTGATGAGAGTGAAAAAGGAGAGTGAAAAAGCTGGTTTGAAGCTCAACATTAAAAAAAAGAGCTAAGATCATGGCATCTGCTCCCATCACTCATGGCAAATAGATGGGGAAAAAATGGAAGCAGTGACAGATTTTATTTTCTTGGACTCCAAACTCACTGCACAGAGTGACTGCAGCCATGAAGCTAAAAGATGCTTGCTCCTTGGAAGAAAAGCTATGACAAACCTAGATAGCATATTAAAAAGCAGAAACATCACTTTGCCGACGAAGGTCCTTATAGTCAGAGCTATGGTTTTTCCAGTAGTCATGTACGGATGTGAGAATTGGACCATAAAGCAGGTTGAGTGCTGAAAAATCGATACTTTTGAATTATTGATACTTTTGAGAAGACTCCTGAGAGTCCCTTGGACAGGCAAGGAGATCAAACTAGTTCATCCTAAAGGGAGTCAACCCTGAATATTCATTGGAAGGACTGATGCTGAAGCTGAAGCTCCAATAATTTGGCCACCTGATGCGAAGAGCCAACTCATTGGAAAAGTCCCTGATGCTGGAAAGATTGTTAGCAGGAGGAGATGGGGGCAACAGAGGATGAGATGGTTGGATGGCATCATCAACACAATGAATATGAGTTTAAGAAAGCTCTGGGAGATAGTGAAGGATAGGGAAGCCTGGCGTGCTGCAGTCCATAAGGTCGCAGAGTTGGATGTGATTTAGAGACTCAACAGTAACAACTGTTATTACAACCTCAAGTTTCTTAAGACCCCTTAGTTCTCAGGAGAGAATCTGAGTAGGGGAGGAAATGTCTCAGGAATTTTGTGCTCAGGAGAGAATCTGAGTAGGGGAAGAAATGTCTCTTAGGAATTTTGTGCTCAACTTCTGGGTGAGCTCACACGTCCTCTCTCAAATTGTCATATGCATGCCTGTCACATAAACACTGCCATAAACTTCACCCCTTACTACATTTTTCCATCAGCATTGTAACATGCTGTTGTTTGTCATTTGACCCTTCTTCCCTCTTGGAATCACATGCACGAATATCACAAGGAAAATCTTGAGTGAAAAAGGAAAATTCAGATACAAATAGAATACAGTGACATGCTTCCATTTATTTAAATTTTAAAAACAAGCAAAATAAGTCTGTTCTTTTAAAAGTTGGGATAGGGTCACCTTTGAGGAGGAGGAGGGAGAGCAAGTGGGAGGGAGCATAGTGGGGGTTTTCTGGGCTGCTGGTTGTGTGCCATTTCTTAACCTATGTCTGGATACACAGATTTGTTCATTTTATGGTTATTCATTGAGCTGACACTTAGGATTTGCAGTTTCCTCTATTTCAGTAAAAGAGGTTAAACAACAAAAAACAAAACAAAATAATTGCAATGGCCTATGAGAGACAAGAGCTTCCCTGGAGGCTCAGATGGTAAAGAGTCTGCCTGCAGTGTGGGAGACCTGGGTTCGATCCCTGGGTCAGGACGATCCCCTAGAGAGGGAAATGACAACCCACTCCAGTACTCTTGCCTGGAAAATCTCATGGACCGAGGAGCCTGGCAGGCTACAGTCCATGGGGTCACAAAGAGTCGGACACGACTGAGCGACATCACTTTCTACGAGGGACAGCATGATCTGATTCCTTTTCTCTTTGGCATAATTTCCTGTAACTCTCCACCTTCTTCCCTTCCCAGCTCACATTATGCTGGCCTGGTTCTTCCTCGAAAGGCCAGGGTTGTACACTTGTAACTGCCTCTGTCTGGAATGCCCTTCCCCCGGATGTCCACATGGCTCACTCTTTCATCTCTATAAGGGCTTTAACTCAGACTTGCCCTCTCAAGGAGGTCTTCTATGACCACACTTTTCACACCACCAGTCCTCACTGCTGTACACTCACTGCCTTTGAATTTGCTTTTCTCTGTATTATTGCCTACCACACTTTGTAATTTGCATATTTATTTTACTGCTCTTTTCCCCTTCCGCTAGAATATAAGCTCCATGAAAGCAAGGATTTTTATCTGGCTTGTTCACTGTGGTGGATGCTCTTGAACAGTGCTTGGCACATAGTAGGCCCTGGTGGTTCAGTGGAAAAGAATCTGCCTGCAATGCAAGGGACGCAGGAGATGTGGGTTCAGTCCCTGGGTTGGGAAGATTCCCTAGAGGAAGGCATGGCAATCCATTCCAGTATTCTTGCCTGAAAAATCCCACAAACAGATGCACCTGGAAGTCTGCAGCCCATGGGGTTTCAGAGTCGGACATAACTGAGCACGAGCATGAATACTGTTAAGTGAATGAGCGCATCTCTACTCCTCATCTTGGAGTTTCTGTGCCAAGGATGTTTAGGTCCAGTTCCTCTTTGTAGAGAATCTTGGCATATCCTGTGGCCCCAGGACTCTTTAGGAACTGTTCTTCCCTGTCTAGTACAGACTTTTAAGCTTCCTTTGCTTTTGCAGATTGAAATCCTTTGTTTATTTAGCAATCGTTTTACTATTTGCTCAGCTCTATGCCAATTTGAACTTCCCTTATGGCTTAGCTGGTAAAGAATCTGCCTGCAATGTGGGAGACCTGGGTTCCATCTCGGGATTGGGAAGATCCCCTGGAGAAGTGAAAGGCCACCCACTCCAGTATTCTGGCCTGGAGAATTCCATACTCCTTGGGGTTGCAGAGAGTTGGACCCAACAGAGCGACTTTCACTTTCACTTGACTCCCCTGGTGGTCCAGTGCCTAAGACTGAGCTCTCAATGCTGGGGCCCTGGGTTTGATCCCTGGTTGGGGAACTAGATACAACATGTCACAACTAAGACCCTGCACAGCCAAATAAATAAATAAAAGTAAATATTCTGGAGAAGGAAATGGTAACCCACTCTAGTACTCTTGCCTGGAAAATCCCATGGACGGAGGAGCCTGGTAGGCTACAGTCCATGGGGTTGCAAAGAGTCGGACACAACTTCACTTTCACTTTCACTTCCATGCCAATTCAGTGAGTAAAAGTCTTAGAAATCATGGCATTCAGAGCATATTTATTAGATTCCTTTCATATACCAGTTTCTGGGCTGATGACTGTGAATACAGATATGAATAAGAGGGCTCACCTTGCGGTACAGAAGCCTGACCGGTAAATGTGCAGCTATGGTGTGGCGAGTTAGGCATTGACCTAGGTTAGAGTTTGCTTCCGTACTGCCCTCCCATCACTGATTTCACCCTGCACGCTCAGTATCAAGAGTTTCTTTCTCTTAGCCATAATTACAAGGTTGCTTTCTTCTATTTTCCATACTCTTGAGTGTAGGGATTATGCTTATTATCTCTGTAACCTTAGCTTTTAGCAGAATTTTGAGCCCAATAAATGTTGAGTTGATAAGAGGTATATGCTCTATGGGAGTGCAAATAGTGAAAATGATGGAGCAGGAAGGGTTGGAGGTTGTCAGGAAACACATCACAGAGAAGATACCATTGTAATATGGCTTTGAATAAAAACAAGAGGTCCTTCATTGC